TCGACTTATGCTTCCACACTTAAGTCTTATATTAATAAAATAAAATATTTTCATAATAGTAAGAAATCTTGAGGTCGTTACAAACTGCCATTTAATTCAAGACAAAATTGAAGGACTTATTTCTACAGAATATGTGAAATCAGTAGACCAACTAGGAGACAGCCTCATGATGGCTACAAACTAAGTACGACTTGGTAATATTCATAACAAGTTAGTCATAATCAAGGTATTCGCTCAACTTGAGGAGTGTTAGAACATATTGCACATAAATAGGAAAGTGTGATAGTAAAGAATAATATTTATATAGAATAGGTTAGTAGAGGTAATAGGAAATGATAATTATACTTCAGAATTATGGACTTCGATATCCTAATTAGTCTCGTTATATATATAATTAGGGCCTTTCTATCGTTATTTTCTTAATGAATTTAACTAATCCCTTCAAATAATAAAGACCACGACATCAAAAATCACATCTAACATTTTAAGCTTTAGGAACAGAATGGCATGGCTACGTATGTGCACCAAAGCACAAGCTTCATCTTGATTGTAGAATTAGGGTTCATAATACAAAGCCTGCTAACTCAGAATCTAAAAATGTATGGAGTCTCTATGGCTTAAACACCCACTTCTAAGCTATAACTATCATAAAACATGTTAAGCTGTCAAGTACTGGACTAAAAAAAAGCCTTTTCTCCGGCTGGATCATTATAAGCCCCGTTATTTTTCAAAATTCATTTGAAACTCATGTTGACTTGTTTAATTTCCCCATCAGCTAAAAGTGTAATTTGTATAATCGGCTAAGAAACTCTTGAAGTTTAATCAAAGTTCATAATTAACAATTGAAAATCAAATCTTTCAGAATTAATTCTCAAGAAACAAAATAATATTTTTTCATATGCTTCTGAAGAATCCACAATTTAAACTACCAGAGCCTGCATTTAACCTCCACTTTGCAAAATTCAGAACCAAATTTCAGTCCCAATTCTGGAACCCAGGCACTACAGCTACACAAGTTTTCTGTGCGTAGAAATTGAAACTATAGAGGGAAAAAGAGGAACCTTGAACGGAGCCCATCTCCTGCTCAACTTTCGCCTGCATTTCGCGGAGAGCGGCGGCTTCGTCCTCCATCTCCTTAAGCCTCTTCTTCATGTCATCCAGATCCTGAGCACACGCACGTCAGTACACGAAAATCCCCAAAAGCTAGGGTTTGATTTGATCAGTTAAACTAAAAAGGTTGAAAGGAAATCAGATCATATCAAACAAATTGAATTAGAGAGACTGAGAGAGAGTTTGCATCACAACGACGGCTCCGCCGTCGGCTCCCACCTCCGCTGCCGCCATCTCCACGTCGCCCTCCATCTATCTAACCCTTTTTTGGGCGGTCCTTTTCCGAGGAAAAATAATTGGGGATAGGAAAAATATTAATGACAAGTGAGTGACACTTTTTGCCCTCTACCTTTTTTTTTAAAAAAAAAAAATCGTGGCCCTCTTATCTTTTTACTATCATCTAGTTTGAAGTGCATTTGATAATAAATAATACAGACAAGATAAAAAATCATAATTTAATCAATGATAAAAAAAAAACTTATTTAAGAAAGTGAACCTAATATTATTAAACACTTATTTATATACAATATTCGTGGTTTTCTCATCGTCAAACTTTTTCGACTCGTAATTCTGGAAAGAGCTATGTACAACTGCGCGTGCCTGAATTTAGGACTTCTCAGTAATTAGTTGATGAGCGACAGAGACTGGTAATGACTCGTAGTGATTGTCATAGCATATGAAACTATGAGAGAAAACTGCATGCACTGAAGTTGAACGATACCCTTAATTCATATGGTTTGATTGTGAGCCTAGGAATAAGAATCTTATCACTAACTCTGGCACCAGTTAAAGTTCATGAAGGACATTGTTGTTGAGCTTAGTAATAACCAAACATGTATCATTATACAACCCCCATGAGTGACCAGTGTTTCTAAACAGCATCACTGGAGTGTCGACCTTTAAGTGCAATTTATGATTCGGAAGTCCCGATCATTATATCCTATTGAGATATTCATAAGTGCGAAGATCTTGAAGAGAGTCATATACAGCGTCTCACTTGCAAGATGTGACCAAACTCAAACAAGTCCTTCTCTCGGATGAGCTCAAATAGCCCATGTACTCAACAACGGACTCATATAATCAATTGTGGTGCGAGTATATGGCTCTATCCTTGGGATGACTAAGATCGTCACTGAACTCCTGAACATCGGGTAGGTACTCCCAATAATAACAATAAGATTCCATTGTGATTTTAGAAGAATATCGTCGAGAATATCAATATCAGCACAACCATCGTTCTAACCACCGATTGTACCTTCATTGATGCTTGCAAGCCACTCCGAGAAGGTCCTCAACTCATCGTACTCGTCACCCCCACCAAGACTTCGAAGCCTCATATTCCGAGTCAGTCTCATAATGACACAACCTCACCATATATAAAGTGCAGATGTTTAGGTATTAATATAATTAAAATAAGATATCTATGTTAATTTGTCTTATTTTTTAGATGATCACACAAATATATAATTTTAGAGTCCATTATATTATGCAACCATTAAATTTTAAAAAAGTTTCATTTCATTTATTATTAAAAATCAATCAAATCATGTATATGAGCTGATGTATAAGAGTTAATTAAACGTGATTTGTGTTTCGGTTAAGGATGTAAATATCAACATTTTACCATAAATATATGTTTATATAGTCATAATATTTTTTAGTACTAATATTCCTTAAAGATACAAAAATCATTTTTTTTTCAATAAATTCAACTAATAATTTACTATTTTTGCACGAATAATTTGAAGGAATTGGTGCAACGACTTGTATTTTAAATTATGTTTTTTTTTTCTTTTAACATTTTGGATTGTATCTATGTAATATTACTTTTTGTACATTTGAGCAATCAACGTACAAATTAAAAAAAAAAACATTCAGATTTAATGGTTTAAACATTATCTCGTCTTACTCACTATGCAACAACCATGTTACAACCAGATTTAGAGCACAATACATGCATGTGATAGATTTTTGAACAAATTAGAGAAATAAAAGTGGCAATCCTAATGCACCCGTTTTTTTTTTTTTTTCTTTATAGAATTTATAGATAAAAACACCTAAATACAACTAGAAATCAACTAGAATAAGCCACAGCCATCTAGCCGAATTCAGGGAAGTCTACGCAAGTAGACATCAGAACTACTCTAACACACCCACAATACAAACAGACTAAACACCAATAAAGACCAAACACTCTCACACGAGAGAATCAAGCTTCAACGATGAAAAATAACGCTCCCACAAGAGAGAATCGACCTGCAAAATATGCAAATAACACACAAGCTACACACACAAAAAAAAAACTACAAAGGAAAAACAACACAAACAACATAAATAACACCATAAAACTAAGAATAAGCCCTCCTCCAACCGCAGACAAACAACAACACAGACGACGGCCCGACAACTGAAGACGACCCACCAAGAGGAAGAAACCTAGCTCAAAAAAAGAACCCAAAAACTCCGATGATCGACTAGTTGGACCCTCTGCCGAACCAGATACCTTACTCGACCGGGCCGCCGCCAGAACAGAAACCGGAGCACCGCCTTCAACCCCCGCTGACCCAAAGCACCGCTCTCAGCCAAACACCAAACCAAGCTGCCCTCTCCAACCCAAGACCCACCAATATTCAGCACAGGGCAGCAGAAGCAAACGGGAGGAAGAGGGCTCACCCTACCCCGGACAACTCACCGAAGAAGGCCGAAGTCAGCTGATCTCCCCCGTCTTGGAAGCCGTCGAGACCATAACCTTCTAGTAGACAACCGGAGAGCGCGACGAGAACCTACCATGGAGAGGGGTCACCGGCACCAGACGAGGAGATCTGCTCGGTTCGGTCGGCGCCGAAGCGCCGCTGCAAGCGCGACTGGAGGAGGCGATTTAGGGCCGATTAGATTTGGGGATTTTTTGGGAGGGTTTTTTTCGCACAGTAGAGTGAGAGATTTGGTAATTGGCGTTTCAAATCCTAATGCACCCGTTACATACCACAAAATTAGGCAAAAATAGGTTGTTGATTGATGGATAAGATTTAAAGATAATAAAAAAAAAATTATGTGATGTACCGGTTTTTGGAGGGAAGCCAAAAGTACTTTTATTAAATGCTCGCTAATTTTTGTTAATTGTTCTGCCAACAATTTTATGTAATTTTTTTTAAAAAAAATAAGTAGGTTGTATTTTTTGTTTTAAAAAATTTAGTGTGTTTGATTATTATTTAAACATATAATGTAAAATATAAAATAAAATGGAAAGATTATAATTAACATGTAAAAAATATTGAAAAATAATTAAAGTAGAAAAAAAAAGTGAATAATTATTTAAAAATAATATATTAATGTTTGATTTTAAGAAGTTTGGCAGAGAATAAAATTAGACAAAGTATTATTTGTTTATTCTTTTTTCTTTTCTCTACAATGATAATAAGAGATATTATAATTAAAAATTAATTGTAGGGAACTTCGAAATTGTAGGACCATAAATTTTCAACAGAAACAAAAACTATGGAAGTCTAATTTCAATATGTCATGTATTTTTTTTAGATTTAAAAATATAAAATAAAATTTTATATTCATACTGAGTACACATACAGTCATACATACATCTAGTTACACTTATGTAGGCAATTAAACTTATATGGATTGAAGATTTCATGCAATATGCATTACACGTTACAATAATCAATAATCATCCTTTTTTTTTTTTTCTGGGTATAAATAGATTGATTATTACTCCAATATAAACTGATTACCAATACAAATACATTTTAGCCTAAATTAACAGATACCAAATGAAGTATCATTACATAAAGCTCTTGAGCAAAATCTAGCATTTTGAATCAGTTTCATCCAAGTACATATAGATGCTGCCTGACCACTCCAGCACATAAAAAGCGAAACTAGCCAGCCGATTTTTCCCGAATCTTGATTGCGACAAAGAAAACGAACCTATAAACGAGCACCATCCCGAACAAGACACCAAGATCGACCCACTTGGAGTACCCCATCTCCACCTCCCACACGTCCCTCAAGATCGTTTCCCCATCAACGGCCGAAGAGGGCCCACCAACCTCGTGATCGTCAAAATACACGCGCCCTTCGATTTCATTCTTGTACAATCCTTGGTAAGCATACCTATGAAACGCTACATAGTACATTGGGTATTTCCACAAAATCTTGGGCAGTTCCTTTGGCAATTGGAAAAACCCGCCGCTTAGCATCATGAGTCCTTGCACACCGGCCCCCACAACGAGCCCCATGAGGAAATTCGGCATGAAACACGCGACAATCATCATCAAGCTCTCGACCAGCATCATGCACGCAAAGAGTACTAAAGTGAAGTACACGAATTCGAGTTTTCCCTGTTTTTGAAGTCCCGCAAGGAAATAAGTGATTGCTCCGGGAATAACCGAGATTAGAAGAAGAAACGGTGTCGAGGATATTGTGTTGCTAACGACGAATGCTGAAGGCCCGTAATGGCCGTTTAATCGATCACGCTGAAAAACCTGCTCTTGTTTTTTAGCACAAATATGTATAATAATAACGGGTTAAAAATTGACTCGACTAACCTTTAAGTCGTGTACGAAAGAAGGGAAGCCGCCAATAGCCATTATAGTCAACAAGGAAGCTACAAACATGAGCAGTGAGCCTCTTTCCTACATTCAGTAATGACCAAAAAAAAACATTATAATAAATAACCCTTTTTATATGCGAAATTGATTAAAATTATGCATTTCTATTGACTTACATGAATGAAATTATAGCTATTTCTTATGTTATAAAAGACACTTCCCAAGCCAGTACACAGGGCAATGTAGATGGCGAATCGTAACCAATAGTAGCCTAAATCGCGATACATGTTGATAAACGATCGTTTCGTGAGAATGAGGCATTGAGTGAATAATGTAGCCTGGCCGTCCTTCTCAGTCGGCCCTCCATCCTACAAAACACGGAAATTTCATCATCTCAAATAAATGATCAAGTATTTAAAGGATGTTTAAGTTGATTTTTAGACTATTACATGTTTGTGTATTTCGGATATGAATGCCTTCATTTGCTTACAAGTACTGAACGAACTATAGGATCTCACGAGCAGATCAATTACTTCCTCGGTGCCCAATCTGTTTCCAGCACCACCACATTCAATGTCCTGAAGTACCAAGAAAACCAATAAAATGATTCGAATTATAAAAAAAAAATTATCAACAAACATGTAAACTTAGGTGATTCGTCATATTATCGAGTGCTACTCACCTCATCAAAATCGGCATTTATAATCCTAAGATAGTGATCGGCCGGGTTTTGCAAAGCAGGACACGCTAAACCGTTTGTTGCGAAAAACTAGTACAAAATGAATAATATTAGTAATATAAACAAGCTAAGCTCCTAATCTTAGCATTGCAATCATTATACACCCACCTCATTGGCCAACGACGTGGGCCCAAAGTACACCATTCTCCCTGAAGAAAGAAGACAGAGCCCATCGAGCAGGCGAAAAACCTCGCTGACCGGCTGATGTATGGAGGACAAAACCGTCATTTCGTACTCTCTCGCCACTTGCACTATTCTCTTCATGACAAAGTAAGAGGCTGCGCTGTCGAGCCCGCTCGTGGGCTCGTCTAGAAAAAGCAGCCTCGGCCGCTTTAAGAGCTCGATGCAAATGCTTAGTCTTCTCCTTTGCCCGCTGCTGAGGCCCTTTTGGCCACATTCTCCGATACTCGTGTCAGTCGAATCGTGTAATCCCATTTCCCTTATTGCCCTCTCGGCATTTTCCCTTTTCTCGGATTCAGACATTGTTGAGGGTAGTTGGAGTTGAGCTGAGAAGTAAACAGCTTCCTTAACAGTTAGTGTCCATGTTAGTGTGTCCTCTTGTGTCACATATGCCTATTAATTATTAAAAAGAATTTAAGTTAGGAGAGGTTAGCTTTTTAATCTGAGAAAATTTTCTCCGTAAAAAACTTTTAGATGTACCGATTTTCCATAGGCGAGCTTCTTTTTACCACCGTTGATGAGGATTTCGCCTTTCTGCCGTGTTCTTGAACTCAACCTCCCTGAAAATTGTTTGTACAATGAAAAAAGAAACATGTAATACATGTGTTAAGAATATTTCAAGCTGCTCGATCACGATATAAAGCTCGTTTATGTTCGATTGGATTGGATCAACTAATTAACTAACATTCATATATATCAAAGTCAAACATGAAGTTTAAGTTACATGTTTGGATACAAAGTGCCGTATATATTAGACTCGACTCGACTCGACTTGAATGGATTTGATTAACTAATTTACCTGACAATGCATCGAGAAGAGTCGATTTACCGCAGCCTGAAGGGCCCATAATTGCAAGAACCTGACCAGGGCAGGCATAGCCGGTGAGCCCTGTTAATATGGATTTTGTACCGTCTTTTTGCGCTCTCGAGAAAACCGTCACGCAAAGATCTTCCCACGTTAAGTAAACCGAGCCATTGCCTTTGAAAGCTAGTTCTTGGGGTTGTTGCAAAGATGAAGCCATGCACAACAAATGGAGGTTCTCTTTGAGGATGTAAGAACGAAGAGATCAGTTTCTCTTGGTGCTGTAAAAATGGAGAAAACAGTTTTCTTGATTTTTTGAGGATGTAAACGTGAAGATTTTGAGGCTGTTAAAATGAAGAAAAAGCAGGGTTTTTTTTTTCTTTTTCTTTTTCTTGGCTAATTAATGAATTTATTCTTTGGATAGAGAGTTAAAAGACACAGAATGTCCATTTGAAGAACCAATGATGCCCAAATATTTGAATTTTTTTGTGTGTTCAACAATACATGATTGATATATTGGACAAATTGATGTGGTAATTTATTTTAAATTACAGAATTTCTAGAGGCAGTGCAAGGAAAAACATCTCCAATCAGTAGGGGTTAGCGTAGGTCGGTACGGTTCGAAAATTGATAAATCTCCGGAACCGTACCAAAGTTCGGAGATCCCAAAATTCGATCTCCGGAACCGTACCAAAA